CAAATGCTCTGGCGGGCGCCATGGCGCCCGCGGGCACCGCGTTGGGGACCACTGATTTAGATAATCAAATGAGAAAAACATGTTCAAAGATAAAAGCCATGGTTCAGTTAGAGCAGTATTCACCAACCAGGAGATCAGGATCTACTGGTAGATCCTGGAGCCTCTGACAGGTGATTTTGACAGATTTGGCTGAGCAGCTACAAATGCTCTGGCGGGCGCCATGGCGCCCGCGGGCACCGCGTTGGGGACCACTGATTTAGATAATCAAATGAGAAAAACATGTTCAAAGATAAAAGCCATGGTTCAGTTAGAGCAGTATTCACCAACCAGGAGATCAGGATCTACTGGTAGATCCTGGAGCCTCTGACAGGTGATTTTGACAGATTTGGCTGAGCAGCTATCAAGTACCTGCACTTCAGTTGCTCCTCCCCTCACTGCCTCTACCTCAGAGCTGCTCCCCAGCTCTGAGACTTCTGCTTGCTGTACAAGATGGAGGAGACAGTGGAGCGTGGCACTGAAGTCAGGGATGAAGAGACTCTGCCCCTGCCCTTCCAGGAGCCACTGCTGGACATGCTGGCTGCTTTCAGGCACAGTACAGGGCCCAGGCAGGGGTGACTGCACCACCATCTGAGTGCTGTCTGTGGTAAGCAGTGCCCAGCCCACAATCCTGAACCCCAGCTCTAAACCCTTTCCTGCACTCCAACCTCTGTCCCCTGGCGTGCCCCCGGGCGCGTGGCCCCGCCCCCGGGCGCCCGGCACCTGAGTGACCCCACCTCCCGGGCACCTGGGAGCCTCTACCTCACTACACCTCAACCTTCTGCTCCAGCCTGGTGCATGTGAGTGAGGATGGGGGAGAGAAAGGGGATGGAGTAATCGGGGCAGGGCCTCAGAATTGGTGGGGCAAGGGCTTGGAGAAAGGTATTTAGGTTGGAGGCAAATAATGGATTTCACATTCAAAAAGTGACCTTGTGCTTAAAAGGCTGGAGACAACTGAATTAGAAAATGTCTATACTACCATACAGATCAACAGGCAGTGATCAATTCAGTGGGCGCATTTTATCACACTCTCCCATTGACTCCAGTACTCCATCAAAATGAGAGGCGCAGGTGAAGCTGAGGAGAGAGCATTCACCATTGTCTTTGCTGCAGTGAATTAATGTGGTAAATAGGTCTAAATACGTCAACTGTAGCCATGCTATTCAAGTAGCTGAAGTTGCATAACTTAGATCCATGGCCCACTGTAGTCTTTCAACTATCATAAAACAGAAGATCTGAAGGAATAGTTTCTTCTATCTGTCTCATCTAGGGATGTTAAAATGTGTAGAATTAAGTAACCGTGTAAACACTGAATTTCAGTAGTTACACATGGGGCGACAGTCAGCTTCACCTGCCACCCCGCACTGCTACCTCTTTATTATACAGTCAGCTTCACCTGCCACCCCACACTGCTACCTCTTTATTAAAGGCAGTAGAACAGGGCAGCAGATAACTCTGAGAGTTGGTGTGTGCTTGGAGCTGGCTTTTCAGGTGGCTCCCCACATGTTTTGGGAGCCTGCATGTAATCATCAATGTTAACTGATGAGCCCAGGCTCAATGGTTAACCGTTTACATGGTTACACTTTCATATCCCTACTGTCATCATTACTTTCCTTAATCCCACTCTTCTGTAGCAACTGCTACCTATGAGGCTTTTCTTCTTTATACATATAAATACACACACACACACAATCCCCAAGCCACCATTAGTAACCGCTGCTCTAGATCAGTCAGGAACAGATTTATTCAAGTTTAGTCCCGTAGTCTGGACTAGAGCAGTAAGACTTGAGGAAGGGGAAGCTAAGGCTAGGTCTACACCAGGGTTTCCCAACCTATGGGTCACCATTACATTTCAAAAGGGTCGCCAAGTGTCTCCCCAGGTGGCTCTTCCCTTCCTCCTCCCCTTGTTTTTGAATTGCCTTGGGTCACCAAGTAGTCTTTAATTGTCAAATTGGGTCCCCATCTGGAAAGGGTTGGGAACCACTGGTCTACACTGTAGCCTTGCAGAAAACCGCATGCAAATGAAGCTTGGCATGGAATATCACCACACTTCATTTGCATAATTAATGAGCAGGCATTTTTGCACAAGAGGCTTTTGTGCAAAAAAGAGCAGTGTAGATAGCTCCTTTTTGCACAAAAACCCCCTCTTGCACAAAAGCTGTTCTTCCTCAAAAAGGAAAAGGACTGAAGCCAAAGGAGCTGGATGGGAGAATGTGGGTTTTAGGGAGTAGGAGCAGACAGTTAGGTTTGAGTGGGTGGATGAGTAGGTGGGCAAGATTATGGCTAGGAATTTAATAAGCATTGGTGTATTGTTTGATTGGCTTTGTACACTTATCATAGTCTTACTTAATTGTTCCTTAACATAGATCAGTATTATTGACAAGGTACATTCTTCTTTACCTGATGGTGCTGTTTTAATCCGAATTTAAATCTGGTAATTTCATTTACAAGCGAGCAGTCTCCACTGAGATTAGCAGCTCGAATCTATCATGAAAACAAGAGACCATGGAACATAAATAGAAAACTCAAAGTATAGTAAGTCTAAATATAATGGTTTCCTGCATTTAGATTTTCAGGTATCAGGGGGTAGCCGTGTTAGTCTGGATCTGCAAAAGCGACGAGGAGTCCTGTGGCATCTTATAGACTAACAGATTTATTGGCGTATAAGCTTTCATGGGCAAAGACTCACTTTGTTAGATGCATGTAGTGGAAATTCCATGGGCAGGTATAAATATACAGGCATAAGAAAAGTACCAATCAAGAGTAAGGCTGGAGAGAACAAGGTCAATTTGGTCAGACGTACGGACTGTCCAGTTTGGCCAATGTATATAGCAGAGGGGCATTGCTGGCACATAATGGCATATATTACATTGGTAGATGTGCAGGTGAATGAACCCGTGATGGTGTGGCTGATCTGGCTAAGTCCTGTGATGGTGTCGCCCGTGTAGATACGTGGGCAGAGTTGGCACTGAGGTTTGTTGCAGGGATTGGTTCCTGAGTTAGAGTTACTGTGGTGTGATGTATAGTTGCTGGTGAGAATTTGCCCACAGACAACCCACCACCCTGAAGCAAGGACTGGCCTGCCTCCCAAGGCTTATGAAAGTAAAGGGATTGTTGTCCAGGATGGGTTGTAGATCACTGATGATGCGCTGGAGAGGTTTTAGAGGACTGTAAGTGATGGCCAGTGGTGTTCTGTGGGTTTCTTCGTTGGGCTTGTCTTGTAGTAAGAGCCTTCTGGGTACACGTCTGGCTCTGTTCATCTGTTTCTTCACTTCCCCGGGCGGGTATCGTAGTTTCAAGAATGCTTGGTGAAGATATTGTAGGTGTGTCTCTGTCTAAGGCAGTGGCCCCCAACCTTTCGGGGCTGTCGGGCATCCAGGGGCAGGGCTGCAAATGTGCTGCACACTGGGGGGAGAGGGGGGGGGGGAAATCGGCCCAGTTGGGGACCACTAGTCTAAGGGGTTGGAGCAAATGCGGTTCACCTGAACATCTACCAATGTAATATATGCCATCATGTGCCAGCAATGCCCCTCTGCTATATACATCGGCCAAACTGGACAGTCCCTACGTAAAAGAATAAACTGACACAAATCAGATATCAGGAATGGTAACATACAAAAACTTGTAGGAGAACACTTCAATCTCCCTGGACACACAGTAGCAGATTTAAAGGTAGCCATCTTGCAACAAAAAAATTTCAAGAACAGACTTCAAAGAGAAACTGCTGAGCTACAATTCATTTGCAAATTTGACACCATCATTTTAGGATTAAATAAAGACTGTGAATGGCTAGCCAAATACAAAAGCAGTTGGTGTTGGTACTCTTTTCTTATGACTGTATATTTATACCTGCCCCTGGAGTTTCCACTACATGCATCTGACAAAGTGGGTCTTTGCCCACGAAAGCTTATGCTTCAATAAATCTGTTAGTCTATAAGGTGCCACAGGACTCTTTGGCACAAGGAAGAGAGAAAAATTGTTCTTCCTGGCCTCTGAGGATAGAACAAGAAGCAATGGGCTTAAACTGCAGCAAGGGAGGTTTAGGTTGGACATTAGGAAAAAGTTCCTAACTGTCAGGGTGGTTAAACACTGGAACAAATTGCCTAGCGTTGTTTTAAATATCTCCAGAGATGGAGATTCCACGTGTAGGTTAGATAAATGTCTATCAGGGATGGTCTAGACAGTATTGGGTCCTGCCATGAGGGCACAGAACTTGACTCGATGACCTATCAAGATCCCTTCTGGTCCTAGTTTTCTATGATTTTTCTGGTACACTCTCCCATATTGCGCTGGGCTAGGGAAGACTAACCCTTCTTTGTCCTTTAGTGTCAGCTATGCCAAGACCTAATTCACTATCTTTTTCCTTGATTTTGCTCTCCTGTACTTTTCTTTCTTTTTGTTGTACTCCCTCCAGTCTCTAGTTCTATATAAGGCTACATATTGTTCTTCAGGGAATGTCTCCTGGTGACTCCAGGGGGCCAAGTCACACATACTCTTGCAGCCAAGATGAGTAATCAAGGAATAGAAGAGAAACTTAGATCTGTGAGCCAATGCTTGAATATGAAAACTCTGTGAGATGTTCTTGCTATCTACACTATGGGCTGTTCATACAGCAGCAGACAAGTGGCTTTCAGAGAACCATCTGCTGAATTTTCCACAATAGCAGAAACATAGCTACATTAAGAGAAGGCTAACTTAGATTCATATACATTTATCTGCTCCTCAGTATTCTCTTCCTCTGCCTTGCATTTTCTTTTCCTCCTCCAAACTCATTTGGGGCTACTTTCTGGGATGGGAAACACTGTTCTAACAGTAAAAAAATTTTTTTAAATAATGTGCAGGAAAAAACCCAACCACATTGTTTTGTAAGAAAAAGCTGGTATTTGCAATGGTGAATTTAAAAAGGATCGACGGGGCAAAAGTTCTTTGGACGCAAAACCAGAAGCCAATGTGACTGTATATAACTAAAGTATAAAGCAAGGAAGTCCTAGGAAAACATAAGCCAAAATCATGTGTTAAATCCTATGTCCTAATTTTTTGTTTGGCACCTAGTCACTTTGACATGCACTTCCCTAAGAGAAGGCAGATAACAGTATTTCTGAACTCTGGAATGGATTTAATGATACCGTGTATTTGCCCGCTGGATACTAAACCAAATTCATTTCCATGAAGAATTACAGAAATCACCGCTGCCTTCCATCCTGTCTAGGTAAAACAAATGCAAACATCACACACAATTTAATGTACCTTTCTGAAATCTAACTTCTCCGTAGCAAATTCATTACATTACTTCTCTTATTGGCACATATCACTGAGTGTGCAGTTTTTACAATGAAACCTTTAAGTTTCTGATATCAACTTTAATTCTCGGGAAGTATTCCTAAAGGTTTTAAAACAACTAAAATGACATGGCACCATATAATCCTATACATTTGCATTGTCTTTATTATGGTATGGAATTTTTTTTATTCACAAGGAAACTTTCTACTTTATCCAAATGACAAAGATGACATTTATATGGAAATATACTTCATGTACTTCTAGTTCATATTCCAAAATCAACTATTAGTAACCTGTGTAAGTAGCTTAGCTTCATTTCATAATCCATTAAATTCACCAGGCTACACAAGCTACAATAATAATCTGGTAATAACCAGATTGTAGCAAAAGGATTAGGGTGACATGAACAGAGGTTTGTGATTATTAGAGTATATGATCAGTCACAGTAAATGAAATAAATATTTTTACAGCAAGAGAAACTTTATAAATTTTTCTACAAATTAGTGTTATCTTCATAGTAGAGTTGAAGATTAAAATTAATAAATACTGTACTAGCTACATATTTTATTCTGTAGCTATTGAAATTAGACTAATTACATATCAGAAGTAGATAAATATGTATTATGTGTTACATTTGTTTATTAAATTCCAAAACAAAGTAGTTCAAAGTACAGGCAGTCCCCGGGTTACGTACAAGATAGGGACTGTAGGTTTGTTCTTAAGTTGAATCTGTATGTAAGTAGGAACTGGCGTCCAGATTCAGACACTGCTGAAACTGACCGCCAGTTCTGACTTACATACAGAATCAACTTAAGAACCCCAGGCGTCCCCAAGTCAGCTGCTGCTGAAACTGATCAGCAGCTGATTCCAGGAAGCCCGGGGCAGAGCAACTCTGCCTGGGGCGGAGCAGCGAGAAAGCCCCGTTCGTAAGTGCGGATCCGACGTAAGTCGGATCCGCGTAAGTCGGGGACTGCCTGTATATGCAATAACATGTCACTTACTTTTGAGATATTTTCTGCAATCTGGTAGCTAAATATTTATTTAGTTTTAATTTATTTATTCTTCTTTGAAAACCATGTTCTTTCGAAATCAGTTCACCTTATCGATAATTTTAAGTTCTGCTAGTGATTAAATTTGTATCTAGTTAAAGGGATGGGGACCTATGGCCCAGCATGCGGCATGTCTTGATCCGGCCCACGAGGCTTGGGCTCTCTCTTCCCACAACAGAGCAAGCCAGAGCTGGCTTGTCCTGCTATGGAGTCCGGAATCCCAAGCGTAACAGGCTGGATCAATGCAAGTTACAGGCTGCATCGGGCCCACGGGCTCTGCCTAGCAGGGGAGAGGAAGTGGTTCTTCATTCTGATGTCATCCCCTACTCCCTCTGGCTGGGGAAATGGCAGCTCAGAGAAGCTCTGGTCAGCGCCTCTGAGGCTTTGCTCTGGCAAAGCCTCAGAAGCGCGGGAACCCGCCCGGTGCCCCTGGTCTGCTGGAGACGGTCTCCAGCAGACCAGGGGCACCGGAGCAGCTTACGAACGGGGCTTTCTCGCCCCGACTTCCAGGGCGAGAAAGCCCCGTTTGTAAGTGCGGATCCAACGTAAGTCAGATCCGCGTAAGTCGGGGACTGCCTGTATACTTTGAACAAGTCCAGTCTCTAGACTGAACCAACAGGAGGAAAAAAAAGGGATGAAGTAGTGAGTTTTACTGAACTATGCTTGGATAGAACATTTGGCTCAGCGCCGAGTACCTCTAATGACCACCAGTAAATAACACTCAATCTCAAGTGGGAAGCCTACTTGCACGTGACAGTATGTTGCCTTACCTCTGAACAGGCTAAATGTTTGACATTTTTGAACCAGTCAACATGTGCACGACAATGATCAAAAGCATGAATCAGTTCATGTGTAACCACTCGGTTCATATGGGATTGTTGGTGAATATTGTTCTGGCACAGAACAATCTGTAGAACAAAAATACAGGAAATCATCAGAAAGCTAAAGGAATTTTCATTGCAAGAGTTTTAGCTTTGAACAGTATTATTAGCTTTCAACTTCTCCTTACACTATTCATATTATTACTATTTATCCAGGTATCACCACAACACTAATTTAACCAGAATTCATTCCTTAATTAAATCCAAAGTCCGAATGGTATTTATACAATTACTCTAAATATTCCTAAAAGCCTAACTGATAAGCATTTTACTACATCCCAACAATAACACCACATTTCATAAGCATTTAAATCACAAAACTTACAAATGGGATAAACCCAAATGGGATAAACCAGGGGGTTTTAGACTCAGTCATAGGTGTATGGCTGGAAGGGACCCGAGAGGTGTTATCTAAGCTAAAAATCTCCAATAATGGAAATTCCATAACCTTCATACACAATTTTTTTCCCCAGTGCTTAACCACTCAAGACAGATTGGAAGTTTTCCCTAATTTCCTAACTAAACCTCACTTTCTGCAATTTAAACCTCATTGCTTCTTGTCCTGTCCTCAATGGATAAAGAACAATTTTTCACCCTCCCCTCTGGAACTACTTTTTACATACTTGAAAAATGTTATCCCCACCCCCAAACTTCTCTGTTCCAAACTAAATAATCCAGGTTTTTTTGTTTGTTTGTTTTTCAATCTTCCCTCAAAAGTCATGTTTTTTAAGCCTTTAATAATTATTTACTCCCTTCTGGACTAAGGATGTTAAGACGCGTGTAATTCATTAATTGTGTAGTCGACAATTTTTGTCAATTACACAATTAATCGATAAGGGTTTGCACTGCAAGCACTCAATCCCAAGTCTGGCAACTACCCCCACTGTGTCTCTGCACAAAGAATAATTTAGGTGCCAGCAGGCAGGTCCCAGCTCATGCCAGATCCCAAGAGAGACCCCTGCTATGGCTCTGTAATAATACTTTCCTTGACAAGCTGCAGCAGGGATAGCTCCCAGGACCCAGCACAAGCTGGGACTAAAACAGGCTGCTGGCCATTGGTTCCTAAATGACTGTTTATGCAGAGCTACAGCAGGAGATCTCACGATGGGTTCCAGGTGCTCTGGGACTGAGCCAGGCTGCTGGCTAGCCCTCTAAAATATTTACTGGCAGAGCTGCAGGGGAAAAGGGGTGAAATGTGTGTAGCTGGTAGCATTAATCAATAAGCTTTCGCTTGTCAGTTATTCATTTAATCAACTACACTATTCCATCCCTATGCTGGACTTTCTCTAATATGTCTGTATATTTTCTGAAATGAGGCACCCAGAACTGGATATACCACTCTCATTGATGCCCAATTGGCATGTACAGATTTACTTCTCTTCTAATACTGACAACAGCCTGCTAACACATCCAGAATGATGTTTAGTTGTTTGTTTTTGCAACAGCACTGTACTGTTGATCCATATTTAGCTTATGATTTGCGATGACCTCTGGATTCCTTTCCGCAGTACTCCTTCCTGGGTGCTCATTTCCCATTCTGTATGTTCGGAACTGACTGTTCCATTCACAGCGGGAGTACTTTGCATTCATCCTTAATTAATTTCATTTTATTTACTTCCAATCATTTCTCCAGTTTTAGATAATTTTGAATTTTAATCCTAATCCTCTAAAGTGATCCCTCCAAGTTTGGTATCATTCGCAAATTTCATTAATGTATTCTCTCACTAGGGATATATTAGTATAGTCTATTAACTGATAAGAGAAAGCTTATAGGTTAAGGCTATAGACTACACACATTCCCCCTCCTACCTCCCCGCCAGTACATTTTTAGTAGGCTGGCTAGCAGCCCGGCTCAGTCCCGGCTTGCGCCAAGTCCGGGACCGACCCCCACTGCAGCTCTGCATTTAAAGTGCATTAGGAGCCAGGTGGTCAGGCAGCCCAGGTCAATTCCAACTAGCACCGGACCCGGGAGCTCAAACCCTGACCTCCCTCCCCTGACTGGGACTGCTGCCTTTGTATCAGAGGCAGCAGCATGGGGTGACAGGCAGTCAGTCTGTCCGTGAGGGGAACTGATATAAAGGCAGCATCGTAGAGTGGCAGGGGGCTCCTTGGGAGTGGGGCGGGAGTTCACTGGCTGCTGGCCTCACCCACGTGGATTATAGACTAGTCGAGTAACCAATTAGAATTCGTGAGGTTAATTGACTTATTCAACTAAGCGATATTTAATATCCCTACTCCACACCATTAAATCATTGATGAAACTCCAGAACAGAACCAAACCCAGGACCAAACCCTGTAGGACAACACTCAAAATGCCCTTCCAACTAACTACTCTCTGGGAATGGTTTTCCAACCAGTTATGCATCCATCTTATAATAGCTCAATCTAGGCTCTATTTCCATAGCTTGTTTATGAAAAGGTCATGCACACAGTATCAAAAGACTTACTAAGTCAAGACATACCACGTCTAGTCCATCCTTCCCTCCCACCCCCGGCAGCCTCAAGTCTTGTTACCCTGTCAAAGAAAGCTATTAGGTGACAGTCTGCATGGATTTGTGAAGAACAAATCACAGCAAACCAACCTATAACCTTACTTTCATCTAGGCATTTACAAATTGATTGATTGCTTATTTGCCACAATATCCGTCTTGGTACTGAAGTTAACCTGACTGGTCTGCAATTCCTCATGTTACCCTTATTATATATTGGCACTATATTTGCCCTGTTCAGTCTTCTAGAATCTTCCCTATCTTCCATGAGTTTTTTAACATAATCAGTCAGATATCTCCTCAGTAAACTGCCTGAATATTCTAACATATACATTATGTTGGTTGGCTGTATTAGCATTGAATCCCTTAAGAATTCACTTGTTTATACCCTTTAACAAATGAGATGTTATTCTGAATTACTGACATCAGGTAAAAACAATTTGTGATACTGAACCCTTTTTTCCAGTCTTACTCCAAATAAGATTTACAACTTCATTTTTCCTACAAGGCCTTTTCTCCCCATCTCGTCCCTTTCTTCTTGCTAAACAAATAGCCATGCTGTCTCCTTTTATTTATTACTTAAAAGATTTTTCTTCTTACTTAAAACCATGCAGATTCAGTTTTAAATCCTATCGGTTAGAGGACTTTTTTTTTTTCAGAAATTTTCCTTTATTTATTACTTACTAGCTGGAGTTACCTGGCATTGCTCAGGAAACCAGATGAACAAAATCTAGAAAAACAGAAGCTGGTCCTGACAGCTTCCAGCCATACAGCTGCTGCCAGTATGACCAGCTGCCCCTCCCATGGACTGCATCTCTCACCCTTCCCCCCAGTATCATCCAGTATCAAACCCAGGATCAGTGCCCAGATTTAAGGGATTCCCCGCCTCAGATTAATTTCTCACCCACCCAGCATCATCCAGTGCTGTCCCTTGGGCAAGTGCCCCTCAAAGGAGACCCTCCCCTATGCCATGGGCTTCATTTCTCACTCACTCCCGGCAGGATTGTTCAGCCCCACTTCCTTCATCCCCCTACAATCCTGCCCTCTCCCTACTCGCCCCCAAAGGTCCAGCCACCCCAGCCCCCATCCTGCCCTCCTTCCA